CGTCCCGATGCCGAGAAAAGATCAAAACGATAGGGGGTGAGCTTCGACAAGACAAACAGACCATCTAGATGTATCACACACGATCTGTGCCCTAACTCCAAACTGACAGGTTCCAGTCAAGAAAGGGGCCTTGGACCACACCTATGCCAGTGAGATTGTCAAAGTGGCACATTACGACGAATTTTGAAGTCATGGTCGTTCAACTTCACCGTTCTTTACGCTGGTGCAGATCTCTTCTAATTAACGAAGCCCTGTTTGATTTCATTTCGATTATATGAAGACTGATTATGTGAGTAACCCAACGGAGTGCCCTCAATGTGTTCGTAATTGTCACAGAATTGGGAACGTTCGTAAGGCAGAGGGCTAAGTATTTATGAATTTGGTGCACTGGTATTTCTATAGCCTGGCCCCATCAGCACTGATCTATGCTTTTACTTGTCGAGACATTTGGCATTGAAGAAGAAAGCAAAACGCCGTCAAAAAATGGCATGCATTCATTCCGGATCTTCTGGGGCTAAAGTTTGACAGTTCTGGATGCCAAGTTGCAATCCAGTGGTCAGCTGCTCTAGACGCCTCTGACATCGTTTGTAAAGGTTACGGGTTCATAATTCAGTGAGTGGCACTATGATTCTTGTTAATTTTTCTGTTCTCTGTACCTTTAGAAGCCTTTGCACATGTGCGACACGGAGAGTGTTTATGATTATAATATTTAATGTCAAAATTACCTTTTCGGCGACAGTTACATTCTTCACGCTGATAATAGAAAATATACCTTGGTGTGCCGTTGCATAAGTCTTAGGTATTCTAATAACAATTTTGTGATTCGACATAAGGGGTTAATTTGCGTCCAGGTCAGGGACTTGCGCTTTTGCGTTTTGCGTTATTTTATTATTCAATCTACCGTACTCCCACCTCCCTTGCCCATCTGGTTACGCTGACGAGATACTATAAAGAGGGTCAGAGGTAGGCTGCAGTGCGTTAGCTTCACAACCCGCCTCCTCATGTCACACTCGATATGGACCCCACAGTACGTACCAATACTTTAGTATTGACGGCTTTAGTGTCGCATAAATGAAAGTGCACTAAAGGCTTCCTTTACAAATCGCCATTACAGCCTGATTCAACGTTCTCCATTCACTCTATAGTATGCCATTAAGGGCCGTGTTATCCCGTCGGTTGGTAGATTTCAAAGTTAAAATCTACGGGCGACGGGGTACGTTTTTGCGCGTCAGATCTGTTACAACAAGGAGGGTAATAACATGTCATGAAGGCGGATTTTTTGGTCTCTGTTTTCCTTACTCTGCTCGTTTTCATGTGCTAGTCGACCATCATTAATAAATACATGGTTTTATATAGCACCCATAAGAATACTTTCGTGGTAACTGAAATCACATTTTCGAGTGATCTTAGGGCAAATAAGCGAACACTGTCTACGGCAAACAACGAAAAGCTCCTTCAAAGTGGGTTGATAAAAGCATAAAAACGAACCTTTGAGACTGGATGAAGCTATTCACTGTAGGCGCAATCGTAATATTTTAAATAAGTTAGTAGAAGCATCTGTCGATGTGGCAAAACTGGAGACTGAATTGCCATGAATAAATACTTGAAGCAGCGCTTCAAAAATGCACTCGAATTGTCTCGAAGTTAAAAAAAATCCCCAAAAGCTACTCGCTTATGTGGATTCATACGTAAATATTTCAATTTAACTGCTCTAAATATGCAGCTTTATAAACTGTTAGTTTTCTATCTCATATATTACTGTTCAATATTGTTAGCATGATGCCATCAGATGGTCAAAAAGCAATCGGAAGGCATTCAGATATTTCTCTAATTGTGATGGCCTCCGGAGCACACATATAGAAATGCACGCTATGTCAGGAGACTCCATTTTGCGCTCACTTTATAATTTGGAAGTGCATTTTCCATGATCAAATAAACCTGAATATCCTCGCGCTTTATAGTGACCCCCAAAGTACGACAAACAACGAAGGTACCACTTGACTTCTTAAATTCAGAAATTCCCAACAGGCAAGCTTCTAGTACATATGACGCAGCACTACAAATATTTTTTTTTGTTTATCGTCTATGAGGTTCCTTTCGTCGTAAGTAAAAAATTATTTCGAATGAATATTTTTTAAATAGGCAAACGCTGTACAGTGTTCTGTTTTGTCCCCAATACGTAGTGTGTTATGAACGAACATTGAAAAGAAATTATTTTAGATGTTGAAAATTTCATTTAAAAAAGTTGATTTGTCGGGGTTTTTTTCGAGAAGAAATGCTGTCTCTCAGGATAAGGAAAATCTGCATGCGGGACAGGGCCGCGCAGCACGTGAGAGTATATAAGGGTTTTAAACGTTCCTCATCAAGGGAGAATTAGTAAACACCATGAGGCTGCTCTCTGTAGATGCGATCATGGTCCTGTTAAAATGATAGAGTGGTGGCGAGATAGGAGAACCCCATCGTAATTGATCACAGTCTACTTAGAGTCGGAGCGCTGGCGACACATTAAAGCTCACGAAGATAACCGAGACGGGATTGGATGTGACCACGATACATCTTTGCTGACCGAACAAACCACCAACAGGTGGTGGAACAAGAAGACTCCGCCTTGATTACAATTAGATGCCTAAGGGCCGAATCAAGGAGAGAATTCCCCCTTACTGTCAACTATCTGCCGATAGGAGTTGACGCAGTGTCTACGCGGCGTGCCAGACGCCTGTATGGCGGTACTCATTGGCCTACGCTGACTGGACACAGCCCGCTAAATGCGTGATGTAAGCAGCCTAGACTCCCGTTTAAGGCGATAGTAGCCTGTGGGGGAAGCAAAATTATGTCTCACTAAGCGCTCAGGTAAGCGATCGTCAAGACTTTGCGCATCCTTCCGCTTGTCTGAATCAGCAATTGTCAGGTCTTATTAAATCGAATTCCCGTATATAGTTATTTTGATAATAATTAATACCTCTTTTCTTTATACATCTTATTAATCCGAATATCATTGCGTGATGCGGGGTGTTCTAGTATAATTCGGCAACGGAAGGTTAAACCATGCATCCATTGATTCAGAGAAAAACAGACACTGAAAATGTAGTTGTTTTGCTTATTTTCTACTTTGACGTATTAATTATAAATAACCGAATATCAGCGTTATAAAAAAATTCACGACCACTGCACATAGATTCGTTCGCTTAACAAAAGTTTTAATGGTATCAAACAATGAATATTATAAAGATCACCTTCTTTAAACACGTAAGTTATAAAGGGATGAAAACAGTTTTTACTCTTGCAATCCGAAAATAAACTCAGTTGATTGGTTTCTCTGAGAAACACAAGAGAGACTGGGGTAATTCAGTTAAGAACTACGCTTGGGTCAAGTGGAAAAGTCGCCAGTTGTCGGCATTATTCTCGATAGGAAACGGAGTTGTGAGACTATCGTTTCTATTTTCCTATGAGGTGCCTTTTTAATAAATAAAAGCAATCGCATAACGCAAGTACGATTTTTGGTCTTAATATGTTTCCGAAGGCTTCGTTTTCTATCTTAGGAGGCTCATACTCCCAATGCTACTGTTATAGCCCAGTTACTTCGGCGTCGCCAGTTGTTATAGACCAGTATTTCGAACCCGACTAGTAGGTAGAAGAAGGAAAGGGGCGGTCCTGATAGGCAGTGGTTTTATTCAGCTGTACACAAAGACTGGGGGGCGCACGTGACTGTCCGGTTATCTGTGTCCTGCAGGTTCGTCGGAGTCGCCATCAGAGTCGTGGGCAGAGTCGTCCTTTAGTCTGTCCACTCCGGCATATTTATAAGGCTCCGGTCGTTCCAGAATATTCCTAGCGAATGGCCTGCTCCCAGACATTCTGGAATAATCTTGACTGCGCCCACTGCGCCTGCTTTGTGGGTGGTCGTCTGGCTTTCTTGGCTCACGGCATATGCGTAGGTGGGGGCGTCTGACATGACGGCGTGACGTATTCCGGGCGGCCCTTTTTGCCGACTGCCGTGAATGCGTGGGGGCGTCACGTGTGCTCAAGGGGTGCGCAGCCGGCCTGCGGCCATGACTCACATAGCGTGCACTTCTCGTCTCCACAACAGCTACCATACTGCAATAGTAGGTCTTAATAATAGTTTCCGGCTGCATTATAAGCTATTAAGACCTGATCCCAAACAAGACTTTCTAAGGACAAGACAGAACAGATGCTCAATAAAAGCTTGTTTAAACAAATTGCAGACAGGCCCTAGGAAAACCTCATATTTAAAACTATTGGCTTTGTGGGGTCCAAATATACATCCAATGTTAACATGAATTCCGCAGGTGCATTAAGGATCAATTCTCTGTAGAGTCAACAAACTTCACTACTGAACTAATTAGATCTTCTGAATTTAAGGTGTACGTGAAGATGCGTATCTGCAAAAAGTATACTCCTCTCCTAGATGTACCATAGGTGCTCGTTCTTAAACGAGTTAACTAGAATCTCTTCGAAAACCTAATGAATTCAGTTCACCATTATAGTTCCAATTAGATTAATTTAACTATGGTCAATCAGTCCACCGTCCGCATCCTCCGGTCATCAAATGATTTCAAAATCAATAAGGCTGAAACTGCTTTAGACGATGGCTGAGGTGTCTAAAGGTTTGGTTTTGACAAGCTCTTGCTAACACACTACTGTGCTCATTCTTCTTATTATTATTTGGTTTCCACTACTCAGAAGAGGCTAATTTGCATATTTTCGCTCTGTAGAATCTCTTTTCACCTCTGTAGGTCTAAGGCTTTTGGTCTACAGGACATAGGGTACTGCATAATACTTTGGTCGGCTTGCTCTTGCTAACACACGCACACCTACGTAGTGCCAGATCAGCGAATAAAAAACCTGCAGAGCCTTCCTTTGATTCTTATTGGTCAGGGGGTTTCTTCAGTGTCCGTGTTCTTCCAGGTCAACAGAACACTTCTCACCGCTTAACCTAGGCCAAACATACATTTTACAACGCCTTGGGTCGCGCATCCACAAGCATGTTCCCCCACGTTATTGTCGCCCTGACATGCATCTCCATTCTATTTATGCTCATCTCTCTGGGAATACCAAACTGGCCGTGCGGTACCATTTTCGGCAATTGTTCTGGCGAACTAGCAATTTTTCAAAATGACATGCGTTCTGTCGGCGCCCTCTTATGCATTTCTGTCATCCTGATGTTTGTGACCCTAGGCTTTGCTGTGGCCGTCTTGTGGATGAAGCAGTATTGGGTGTCCCCTGCAGGTTTCGCCATCGGAATTGCAGCCTCGATTTTTGCCATCGCGGGTGAATTCACTTATTATAGTCGCGTACGAGCTGATTGGAGTGCATTTCTGGCCGCCATTTCAATGACCATTATCATCCAGATCACTGTTTTGCTGGGAACAAACTTCGTAAAGTCTCTGAAGGAGTCCAGTTAAAGTGGTGTTTGCCTATGGAGCTCATGTAATTTTATCTTTTCTCTACAAGAGTACTCCTCTTAATCTGCTGGAATCTTCCTGCTGTAAAACACTTCCTACAAGGAATTTTTGATCTTGGCAAACGTTTTTTAAATGACGTTATGTGGTCAGTTGGTTCACTTGGTCGTTTTATTAAAAGTTGTTACATTTTGCTTGAATAAAGTGGTTCTGCCCTCTAGAGTCAGTCTGAATCGCTGTCAATTGTTAATTCAGATTTAAAAGATTATCTGCTTGCAATTTGTTTCAGCTCAAAATTTAATGACTTTTAACATTTTTTATTATATTTTGACGCCAAAATTATGAGAGAACTCTTACTAGCAACACGAATGTCCGAATATTTTACTTGCAGTAAGCACCGTAATTTACTACTTCTAGTCAGTCATGAGCAGTTAAAGTGTAGTATCGGAATCCCAGGGACATTTTCTAATATACAGTGCATAATGACTGACAATCAGACGGCTAATATCCCAAGTCGTACAGAGCTTTTTGAACTTGCAGTGACTGAATTAAGTATGGTTCTGGGTGAACCATATACACAATAGATTTTACATCTGATGAAATGTGAAGATCACAAATTGAGTGGGTGATTTAACATAGATGAGGTTCAGCACAGCATTTGGCGAATGTACACTCTGATTGGCTCCCTGCTGTAAGGAAAGACGATCGATCGGTTGTTTAAATTTAAACCTCCCATGTAAATGTATAGCCTGAGGAGAATTGACCGAAAGTGTATACCCGCTAAATCTTGTTCTGAATGGCAAAATTAGCTTGTGTAAGCCCACTCATATACTCCTAGTCCCAGCATGGTGGTTATAGAGTTTTGGGGGTGGGGAAATAGGATAGGCAGAGAAGGAAAATTTTTAGAAGTGGTGTAAAGTGAAAAAATGTAGCCGAATTTGCTTCCCGCGGCCGCTGGGAGCAGGTTGTTCCGCGTGTAAATTGA